CAACTTTATTATTAGATTTAATATGATATATCAATATTTGCCTATATGTAGGCCAGAATGAAAAGCTGCACAAAATAGTTTAGCAATACCAAGTTTATAACTCTAGGATCATTTCTTGAAACTCAACATTAAAAAGTCAGAATTATGTCTTACCACCATAATATCGACTAATTTATAATCCTATATATATATTTTTATATGTGGAGAAGCAACTTTACCTTGAAATGAGTTCAGAGAATTGGCAACCAGCTGCCCAAGTAAGTGAACCACATCATTTAAAATTCTTAAGAGTTTTTAAATTTAAAATAGATTCAACAGAAGTCACTGAAATTCTTATAGATCTGAATATTTAATAAATATAGATGATCGGAAAGAGACATTATTTAAAAATTGAAATTCATTTAGCCAACATAAAGAAAGGGACTTTTTTTTTTAATATAAATTAATTTTTATTGGTGTTCAATTTACCAACATACAGAATAACACCCAGTGCTCATCCCGTCAAGTGTCCCCCTCAGTGCCTGTCACCCATTCACCCCCACCCCCCGCCCTCCTCCCCCTCCACCACCCCTAGTTCATTTCCCAGAGTTAGAAGTCTTTATGTTCTGTCTCCCTTTCTGATATTTCTCGCACATTTCTTCTCCCTTCCCTTATATTCCCTTTCACTATTATTCATATTCCCCAAATGAATGAGAACATACACTGTTTGTCCTTCTCCGGTTACTGTGGCCAAGTTCAAAAAGGGTGTTGCCTGAGTTCTCCTCTGGGATTTTGATGGAATCTTGTCTCACATTTAGATCTTTCATCCATTTTGAGTTTATCTTTGTGTATGGTGCAAGAGAGTGGTCCAGTTTCATTCTTCTGCATGTGGATGTCCAATTTTCCCAGCACCATTTATTGAAGAGACTGTCTTTCTTCCAGTGGATCGTCTTTCCTCCTTTATCGTATATTAGTTGACCATAAAGTTCAGGGTCCACTTCTGGGTTCTCTGTTCTGTTCCATTGATCTATGTGTCTGTTTTTGTGCCAGTACCACACTGTCTTGATGAACACAGCTTTGTAGTACAACCTGAAATCTGGCATTGTGATGCCCCCAGATATGGTTTTCTTTTTTAAAATTCCCCTGGCTGTTCGGGGTCTTTTCTGATTCCACACAAATCTTAAAATAACTTGTTCTAAGTCTCTGAAGAAAGTCCATGGTATTTTGATAGGGATTGCATTATACGTGTAAATTGCCCTGGGTAACATTGACATTTTCACAATATTAATTCTGCCAATCCATGAGCGTGGAATATTTTTCCATCTCTTTGTGTCTTCCTCAATTTCTTTCAGAAGTGTTCTATAGTTTTTAGGGTATATTTTGAGAACCATTTGAATGGTAAATGGTTCTCCAACCTTTTATTTTCAGGTTGTAGGTGTCTTTCTGTCTAAAATGAGTCTCTTGTAGACAGCAAATAGATGGGTCCTGTTTTTTTATCCAGTCTGAAACCCTGCGCCTTTTGATGGGGTCATTAAGCCCATTCACGTTCAGAGTTACTATTGACAGATATGAGTTTAGTGTCATCATGATATCTATTTAGTCCTTGTTTTTGTGGATTGTTCCACTGAACTTCTTCTTAAAGGGGAGTTTTAAGAGTCCCCCTTAAAATTTCTTGCAGAGCTGGTTTGGAGGTCACATATTCTTTCAGTTCCTGCCTGTCTTGGAAGCTCTTTATCTCTCCTTCCATTTTGAATGAGAGCCTTGCTGGATAAAGTATTCTTGGTTGCATGTTCTTCTCATTTAGGACCCTGAATATATCCTGCCAGCCCTTTCTGGCCTGCCAGGTCTCTGTGGAGAGGTCTGCTGTTACCCTAATATTCCTCCCCATGAAAGTCAGGGACTTCTTGTCTCTTGCTGCTTTAAGGATCTTCTCTTTATCTTTGGAATTTGCAAGCTTCACTATTAGATGTCGAGGTGTTGAACGGTTTTTATTGATTTTAGGGGGGGATCTATTTCCTGGATCTGAATGCCTGTTTCCCTTCCCAGATTGGGAAAGTTTTCAGCTAGGATTTGTTCAAATACATATTCTGGCCCTCTGTCCCTTTCGGCGCCCTCGGGAACCACAATTAAACGTAGGTTTTTCTTCCTTAGAGTGTCATTTATTTCCCTTAATCTGTCTTCATGGTTCTTTAATTGTTTATCTCTTTTTTCCTCAGTTTCCCTCTTTGCCATTAACTTGTCTTCTATGTCACTCACTCGTTCTTCCACCTCGTTAACCCTCGTCGTTAGGACTTCTAGTTTGGATTGCATCTCATTCAATTGATTTTTAATTTCTGCCTGATTGGATCTAAATTCTGCAGTCATGAAGTCTCGTGAGTCCTTAATGCTTTTTTCTAGAGCCACCAGTAGCTGTAGAATAGTGCTTCTGAATTGGCTTTCTGACATTGAAGTGTAATCCAGATTTTGTAACTCTGTGGGAGAGAGGGCTGTTTCTGATTCTTTCTTTTGAAGTGAGGTTTTCCTTCTAGTCATTTTGCTCAGTGCAGAGTGGCCAAAAACAAGTTGTATTGGAACACGGGGGAGTATCACTGGTCCGTCCAGCTGGTCTTCTGGGGGAGGGGCCTGCTGTGCTGATTTTCAGGTGTTAGCACTTGGGGGAGCTGCTCAGCCCCTGCCTGCTGCAGGGCTCAGCGGGGGTTGTTTACCCCGTGGGGCCCCAGGAGGAACAGCCGCAGTTGCTATGGCAACTCTGGAAGCCTGGATTCAGCCTCCGCAGGAACTACGGGGCTCGGGGGCTCTCGGTTCTCCGTCCGCAGGGCCTGGAGGCTCCGGGGCGGGGCCGCTGATCTGCTCAGCTCGGGGCAGGAGCGTCCTCGCTGTCCTGGGCCCTCCCGGCCTCTGCCTGTCCCGGGGGAGGCCGGATCCTGGGCTGTGTCCCGGCGCCCTGTGCTCCGGGGCCTGCGCTGTTGGATTCGCGCTCCCGCCCCGCAGCCCCCTCCGCGGAGCCGCTCCCGAGCCCCTCCGAGCTGCTCCGGTCCCGCCGTGCGCGCTGCAGCCCTTAGGGAGCTCGGCGCACTCTCTGGGGCGCAGGTGTCTGTTAGTGTCCCCGGGAGCCCGAGGGCATCCCCGCCCTCCTGGGTCCTGCTCCACCTCCCTGCGAGCCCCTTTCCGCCCGCCCGGGAAGGTTGGTGCAGCTCCTGCTCCTCCGGGACGGGGCTCTCCTGTCCTGGGGACACTCGCCCCGGCCTCAGCCCGGCTCCTCGCGGGGCCCCTCCCCCTCGGAGGCCTTTTGTTCCTTTATTTCTTTTTCCCCGTCTTCCTACCTGGATAGAAGCGCGAACTCCTCTCACTGTAGCATTCCAGCTGGTCTCTCTTTACATCTCAGGCCGAATTCGTAGATTTTTAGGATGGTTTGAAGGTTATCTAGGTAATTTGGTGGGGACAGGTGACTCGGGGACCCTGCTCTTCCGCCATCTTGCCCCTCCTCCTCCAAGAAAGGGACTTTGTAAGGGAAAAGGTATGTGAAATTGGGACCTAGGTTCTTTTTTTTTTTTTTTTTTGGGGGGGGGACCTAGGTTCTAGGCCCACTGTGGGTACAAACTACCTATAGGTTCACCAGGTCATTTACATTTTGTGGCTTCAGCTGGCTGAACTGTAGATGTATTGGCCTGCATGATTTGCAGTCTTTCTTAAGCTTTAAAATTCTATGAGTCTAGGTTATGGATTTTTTTTTTTTGTGTGTGTGAATAAATTGTTAGTGTCTTTTAGATTATTATAGAACTATTTTCATGCCTTATCAATAGCCCATGGGGAGATATTATTATAAAGTAACTCAATTTTTCAATGGTTTGGCTTATATTTGAACTCCATACATGAGCCTGACTTTCCTAATGTCTTCATGACACACTTTACTAAGGCAGTATATGTGGTTTTTCAGAAAACTTTGTTCATGTGTTCTGTGTGGTAGGTCCCTAAAATTTATATTTATTAAATTTTTTAAAAATTAGTGTTTTATGGTTGCAATAATTAGACTACTGCCATAAAGATAATTGGCTGCAGCAATTCAAAAGTATAAATATTTTTTTTCTATGTAGAAAGACAAGGTTCATTAAGTCTCCAACATATTAGCAAATTATCAATTTTTTTTCAAGGCATACTTAACCTTACAGTAATGTGCACAGCCACCTCCTGGTGGCTCAAACACAGTAAATGTATCTATGAAATGTCAAATTTTGGGGCCATTGTTTTGTAATGATTCATGAAATTACATCATCTTCCCCCCAGCTTTTGTAACAAAGATACATTTTTGATTAGCTAATTATTATGTATATTCTTTTATTAATCAGGTTTTCTCTGGGTATATCTGAAGGTAGGGTTATTTCTCTTTCTCTGTGTGTTGTTTTAAAAAATCACCAAAAAATTAGGGAAGTTTCATAATAGACAAAGTTTAGAAGATCTCTGGCTTGATTTTTCACCATAATTTGTTTCCTAGATATAACTTTTTTTCCCCAAGCATCCTTCCAAAGGGTTTATAAGTAGAAAATGTATTATGGTGAAAAATCTCTTTGGAAAACTTGGAATAATAAGGAAAAAGAAAAGGAAGTATTTGTGAGCTCAGGTGAAATGATAAAAAAAAATATGTAAGGTTTTCCAGAACTCCAAGAGATCAAAAAATTTCCCACTTAAGGGGACCTCCTTGACAAAGACATTCTAAAAATCTCATGGATTATTTTCAAAAGTTTTCATTACCTCTTTTTTATACTTCAACTTGCATGATGTAACAACTGAGTGCCTCTGCTGTATGAGAGACTCCTAACTCAGACTAAACTGACCCACTCCTTTACAAATCTATAAGGACTTAAACTCCTTATAAATGGGCTATAGGTTATTGCTTGATTGAGGTGATCTAAAATAAATAATGTCATTTAATCTTACTTCATTGCACTACATTCTCTGAATATTTAAATTCTGATACACATATAGCCTACTTACAGCTCTCAATATTTAACTTTTATAGCAAATTAAAGGCCTGTTTTTGAAGTGATCCAGTTTCGGTAATAAACCACTTTTGTGTAGACTCCAGGTTTATTCTTTTGACCACAATTATCTCCCCAGCTCACAATTCCAATGAGATACCAGGTATCTTTAAGATCCTTTACAACTAAAGGTCCCCCAGAATCACCCTGAAAATAAAAGAAAGAAAATTAGCTAAATATAAAACTTATTACTTAAAATATTCTGATGAATCACATATTTTATTATTAGAAAGCATATGTATTGATTACCAGTTATAGATAATTAATCGAAATGTAGATTTCAAGTTATAAAAGCCTTAAATTTCAATTTCCACATTTTAATTTTCTCAGCTTTATGGACATATAATTGAGAAATAAAATTGTATATATTAATGTGAGCAAGATATTTAACATACTTATACTTTGTGAAATGATTACCACAGTCAAGTTAATTAACACATCTATCACTTCACACAGGAACTCTGTGTGTGTGTGTGTGTGCGTGTGTGTGTGTGTGTGTGTATTTTGAGAATGACTAAGGTCTACTGGCAAATTTCAAGTACACAACACAGAAAGTCCAGCTGGTGTTGGTTTTTTTCTGACTCCAAGCAGGGTGTTTGGACCTCGGTTTTATTGGACAAACTAAACCCCTCACCATGCACCTCAATTATAATCACTGTATTCCTGTCTTGGACTCTGTTCCTAATTCACTTTCTCGATAATTTCCCCAATTTTTCTATGGCTATAGAAATTCACTTGCACAGTCATGGAGCAGGAATCTTACCTTTGCTCCTCAATTCAGTGAAAGTTCTTTATGACCACGTCCTTCCTGAGACATATCACTAATCTCACCATTTGCCTAGACTCCCATATGTTGTCTGCAAATGGACTCCTGTTACCAACTTCCTCTTGTCCATCATGGTTTGGAATTTTCTGTGCATTCTCTGAATTCCAGCTGCCTCCCTCCACATTCTCAGCAACTGAGTAGTCTGGATATGGACCAGATTCTGCTCTTGCCCCACCTGTATACTACAAAACTCCCTGCTCCTTTTCCAACAGAAGTTTCCATGTGTAACTTGTGGGACTCTGGGCAGAGCTTTCTGCTACCTGATTTCAAAACAATTTTGATCCTTTCATCATGGAGCATCACCTCCTTGGAGTTTTCAAGAATCCTATGTTATAAAGCAAGTACTTCCAGGAAGAAATAGACTTTCGATCTTTGACTGAAAATATGCATTCAGAATAGCTATTGGACAGAGGAGAAAGGCACTGGAAAGGGCACCAAGTAGTCTCAACATGGTCTAATCCACCTTCTCACTAAGCATTAACTGCTTCTCCCCTATCATCCTCCTTATGCTGAGACCCAATTGATTACTTGGAATTCCCTCAAATATGAATTATAATTTCATGCCTTCATAATTTTTGCTGCACTCTTTCTATACATGGACAATTGTACTTTTATTCTATACTGGGCAAGGGCCATTTATCCTTCAGGCCTCATACCCTTCAATATGATCTCTCTGATACTTGCTGCAAAATGTTCCTTTCACCCTAAAAATATTTGCTCTCCATTATATTATTTAAAACTTCTCATCACAGTTCATTGTTCACGATTATTTCCTTTCTAGATGAAAGCTCTTTAAAGAAGGGGACTGCTTTATGAATCTTTGGACTTCTGGTACTAAGAAAATTTAATTTTGGTGGTTAGTTGTTTGATAGGATCAAAGAAACTCTGCTTTATATCATTTTGCTTAATAAAACACCTAAAAATGTTTGTGTTGTGAAATTTGCATTTAGAAATTACTGAACTGACAAGATATTTGTGAAGGTACTAACATAAAGAACATAGACTATTTCTTGAAAGAGATAAACATGTTTTGAATTAATGATATTAAAATAATCTCTCTCTACCTACCCTGCAAGCATCATATATTCCTTCCAGATATCCAGCACAAAACATTCCAGATTTTATATCATGGCCATATACATGTGGTTGCTTGCACACTTCATCACTTATGATTTTCAGTTTGGCTTCTTGAAGATTATTTTGGGATTTCCCTTCAGGGAAAACAAAGGAATTTTAGAGTTTACAATCAACATCCTTAGCTAGAATGAAGTGAGTGGACTTTTTTCTAATCTATTTCATACTAAAATTATCAATACAAAATGAGGTTAATGTAAGCAGTTTCTAGAGAATAAACTTCCCTTTGGAATCTGACACATTTAAATGATAATTATTGGGATGCCTGGGTGGCTCAGTGGTCTGCCTTTGGCTCAGGGCATGATCCCAGGGTCCGGGGATTCCCACAGGGAGCCTGCTTCTCTCTCTGTCTCTGTCTCTGCCTCTCTCTCTCTCTGTGTCTCTCATGAATAAACAAATAAAATATTTTTAAAAATGATAATTATTATGCTTATCACATTTTATAAATACCTATATTAGGAAGAAAAACATTTCCCAGAGTTAAGCAAACTCTCTTGCTGTTGTTATATATCTGTAACTAGGTGAGATTTTACAATCCAGAGTGTATCTGACTACATTTGCCCAAAAAACAAAAACAAAATCATTTTTATTCATGAAAAGTTTAAGTTAGCATATCGAGTTAAATCATTTTAGAGAGGGCCATGGAAGCTTCGTTATCAGAGACTAGCTCTACACAGCATTCATATTGCTGATCACTTTTCAATTAATCTCTGTAGTTCTGAAGCAGATTTTGCTGCAACTGGACATTGTAGCTGAGCAATGGGGAAACTCGTAAGGTGGCTGAGGAAAGTGAAAATGAGTAGTGGAACAAACCAGGGGGAGGAGGAGATGAAAAGGGTAGAGGGAGGCTCACAAAGGTGGGGCATAAAGGGAGGGAGTCTTGGAGTGAAGGTGGATATGAGGATGACAACACATCTGATGTATGGCTGGCTGGCGTTGTGTAGAGAACAGAACATAGACATAGACTCTAGTGTTGCTGAGGGAACATTTGCTTCTTTTTATGTCTTCCTTGAAGCCCACCCTTTTGGAACTGCCTCTCCCTTATTCCATGTGATTCTGACCAGGCTGCCTCTCACAAACCTGGCTTTCTTGGAATGGGCACAGAAGTGGGTATTGAGTTAGCTAGTCAATCCAAGTACCCCTGGACACAAGCAGGGCCAAAAGAGACCTTTTCAGGGATTAATGTAGATTCCGGCAAAGAAGACATGTTCTTCCCTCCACATCTACTAGGAGAAGATGACATAAACCCTGAGCTGTTGGCCACCTTTGACACTATGTGGAGCTAGAATCCCTCCACATGAAGGCAACCTAGGGGAAAACAGAGCCAGAAATGGGAAGATTCAGAACCTAATGGCATCATACAGACTCCTGAATCCAGCTATGCCTGAAACCAGGCTCATATCTCTATTGACTTCTAAATTACAAGGGCCAAGTTTGCCATTTTATTATTATCTTTGCTTTAGTGAAAGTTGAATTTCTGTTATTTACAAAATAAGACCTCTAATTTAATCAAGCTGTGCAGGAATGGCTGGCTAGATAATATTAATGGAGATTAAATCATATTGTCCTAAATCGGACATAGCGCCCATGGTCCTTTTTGAGATACCTACCACCATAGAAGAGTGCTCCAAATCCTGTGATATAGACAGTAGAATTTGGTTGGAAGGATGCAGAGGCTTCTGGCAAACAAACCCGGCGGATGTTATCAGTAAAGGTGACCCTAGGAGAGAACTGCACAACAGCAATGTCGTATTCTCTTGCTGGGGAGTGATATCTCTCATGGACAATAATTCTTCTGATACTTCTTTTCATTAACGGAGGATTGATTGTTGTTCCAAAGCTAACAGTCCACTGATGTGGATTTGCACTACTGGAAAAGGTTAGAAATGAACAGAATATATAAACTGCACTATAATAATTGCATGAAGGCTAATTTAAAAATTCCATCTTAAAAATATTTGGGTGTAATGATAGTTTCCTTTGACCTTTAAATATAGTCTATTGCTATTTTGAAAGATAAACTGTGTACAAACAGCACCTTAGAGCTAAAATCCAAAAAAGAATGATTGAATTTTAGAACTGTAAAGCATATAAACTATCATTCATTTATCTCTTCAACAAATATTTATTGAAATCCTATATGGTGAGACTTATTTGAAGTGCTAGAGTTAAAGTAGTGAACCAGACAGAAAATGTGCCTGCTGGTGGCTATATTCAATTCCAGGGAAGGAAAAAGAGCAAAGCAGATAAATAATTAACAGATAAATAAATCCAAGCAGTAATAATGGCTTTGAATAAAATAAAATAGGGCACTTGAATAGAGTACAGGGGGGTAATTAGATAATTCTCTTTTGAGAATATTATTTTTTAAAAGATTTTATTTATTTATTCATGAGAAACACACACACACACACAGAGAAGCAGGCTCCATGCAGGGAGCCTGACATGGAACTTGATCCCCGGTCTCGAGTATCACACTCTGGGCTGAAGGTAGCGCTAAACCAATCATTCTATGGGGAAAGAAAGAAATTTGATATCTGCTCTTCTAGGTGAAAGAACAAATATCAATGGGTGGAAGTTATAAGGTTGCAGATTTGGTTTTCAGTGTTTAAAGATATTTGCAAAGTAGAACAGTCTACCACAAAATTGGCAAACTTTGGAGCTAGTAAGCTCTCCATTACTTTGAGATATTTAATGCCAAACTAGGCATCTGCATAAGGGATTTCTGTGCATTCTAAAAAATTGACCTATTGAACTCTGATGTCTTTCAAACTTTAAGAATCTAAGTCTCTATGCAGATTTAGACTCAGGTAGGCAGAATTTACTATGGTATCAAAAGTCAGAATTTAATTTGCAAATATCTTCTCCCATTTGATGGATTATCTTTTGTTTTGTTAATGGTTTCTTCACTATGCAAAAGCTCTTTATTTTGGTGTAGTCTCAAAATAGTAGTGTTTTGGTGTAGTTTAATTTTGCTTTTTGTTCCTTTACCCAAGGAGACATGTCTAGAAAAATGTTTCTAAAGCTGATGACAAAGAGATTGCTACCTGTGTTTTCTACTAGGAATTTTAGTTTCAGGTCTCACGTTTAGGTCTCTAATCCACTTTGAGTTGATTTTTGTGTATGATATAAGATAGTGGTCCAGTTTCATTCTTTTGCATGTAGTTGTATGGTTTTCCCAACACCATTTGTTGAAAAGACTTTTTCCTATTGTATATTCTTGCCTCCTTTGTTGTAGATTAATTGACCACATAATGGTGGGTTTATTTCTGGAAACTTTATTCAGCTATATTGATCTATGTGTCTATTTTTGTGCCGGTATCATACTTTATTGGTTACAACTTTGTAATATATCTTGAAATCTGGGATTGTGATTCTTCCAGCCCTGTTCTTTCTCAAGATTGCCTTGGGTATTTGGGATCTTTTGCACAGTGAAGGAAACCATCAACAAAACAAAAAGGAAACCTACTGGATGGGAGAATATATCTGCAAATGATATATCTGATAAAAGGTTAATATTCAAAATATGAAAAAAGGACTTCTACATCTAAACACCAAAGAAACTGACAAATGGGCTAAGGGCCCAAATAGACCTTTTCCAGAGAAGACTTATGGATGGCTCAACATGCCTGGTCTTCAGAGAAATGTAAATCAAAACCAGATGAGACATCACCTTAAACCTGTCAGAATTGCTAAAACGAAAAATATAAGAAACAACTGTTGGCTAGGATGTGGAGAAAAAAGGAACTCTTGGTTGACAAGAATGTAAATTGGTACAGCCACTGTGGAAAACCATATGGAGGTTCCTCAAAAAGTTAAAAATAGAATTAACATATGACACAGTATTCCCACTACTGGGTATTTATTCAAAGAAAACAAAAACACTAATTAAGAAAAATATATGCACTCTAAATCAAAACTACGATGTCACCTTATATGCAAAATGTCTGTTTTTGAACCAGGGCTCTATCAAGACTGATGCATTTTACTTGATTGTGTTTCTTCAGCCTCTTAATCTAAAATGTCCACCTGTTTTTATTTTTACTTTTTAATTCTTTTCCTGTGTGACATTGACTTCTTAAAGAAACCAGGTTGGTTCTATTAGGATTTTGAAAGTCCTGCCATTGTTAGGGGAAAGTTAATGATCTGTGGAGGTGTATTTGTATTTCTATATGTAATTGATGTGATAACTTACACTTTCCTTAAATTTCACTTTAAAAAGTTTGATTTTACGTACTAGAGCACATATTGTATATATATTTTCCCTCTAGCTAGTGTGACTGGTGTCTATTTTAAAGTACTTATTTAGGGCAGCCCTGGTGGCTCAGTGGGTTTAGTGCCGCCTTCAGTCCAGGGTGTGATCCTGGAGACCTGGGATCGAGTCCCACATCAGGCTCCCTGCATGGAGCCTGCTTCTCCCTCTGTCTGTGTCTCTGCATCTCTCTCTCTGTGTCTCTATGAATAAATAAACGAAATGTTTAAAAAAAATTAAAAAAATAAAGTATATTTAAAATTTAGCATTTTTTATATAAATTACTGTATGGAAACATGAATATGGTTATGATTTGTTAAAATTGGAATGTGAATAAAGGTTTATTTACTTAAAAAATATATATATACACAACGGAATATTACTTAGCCATAAAATTGAAATCTTGCCATCTGCAATGACGTGGATGGAACTAGAGATTATGCTAAGTGAAATGAACCAGTGATTTCACTCATATGTGAAATTTAAACAAAACAAATAAGCAAAGGGAAAAAAAGAGAGGCAAACCAAGAAATAGACTCTTAACTGTAGAGAACAAACTGTTGGTTACCAGAGGGGAGGTGGATGGTGGGATGGGTTGAATGGGTGGTGGGAATTAAGGAGTACAACTGTTATGATGAGCACTGGGTATTGTATGTAAGTGTTGAAGCACTAAATTGTACAGCTGGCACTAATATTACACAGTAACTAACTGGAATTTAAATAAAAACTTAAAAAAGAAACTAAAAGAAAAAGGATATATGCACCCCTATGTCTTATTGCAGCATTACTTATAATATCCCAGATATGGTAGCAACCTAAGTATCCACTGATAAACGAATAAAGAAGCTGTCAGATGTGTACACACATGCACACAGACACACACAGAGGAATATTACACAGCCATAAAGAGGATGAGATCATGCTATTTGCCGCAGCATGGATGGACCTAGAGAATATTATGCTAATAATAAATAATTTGGACTGAGAAAGACAAATACCATATTATTTCACTTGTATGTGAAATATATATTTAAAAAAAGAATAAACAAGCAGAATCAGACCTATAAATACAGAGAACAGACTGGTGGTTGCCAGATGGGAAGGGCATTGAGAGATGGGAAAAATATGGAATGAATAAGGTAGAGGAATAAGTGGCACAGCATAAGAAATATAGTCGATGATACGGTAATAGCATTCTGTGGTGATACATGGCAGACACACTCGTGGTGAGCATAGCATAACACATAGAAAAACTGAATCACCTGAAACTAATGTAACATTTGTGTCAACTATACTCTAAACACCCCCCAAGCCCTGTAGGGCCATGACCAATGAGTGCTAGGATAATGACTGCTACCCCCACTAACTTTGCAAATAAGTATGCAACTATAACATTATATTAGAAAAGAACCAGAAAGACAATTTTCTCATTTATCTCAGTAATACTTCGGGGCATTGATTATTACTCAGAACATAATAAAACTCAGTTTTTCAATAGTAGTGAAAACTGTTACAGTCAGTAACTTACTTCGTGAAGCAGTGTGCTGCGGTGAGGAGCCATGTATTACTGATCAAGGTGGCTCCACACTGATGAATGTTATTACGCTGAAGGGAAGCTTGCCAAGGCCAGGCAGCTTTGGCTGCAATGTCTCCAGACATTATTCTATTGACTATTAATGGAACAACTCGTTTACCACAACCTATAAGAGATAAGATCATTAAGTTATAAGAAACGTCTCTATTGTCTTTGATTCAGAGTCCCTAATAGAGAACTGTAATGTACTGGCATTTGTCATTATATAAACATATGCAATACTAATATCTATCCTCTGGGCTTCCTGGTATATTGATGTTTTTTGCTCATCCTGTATTTAGAGATGTGGATATATATTGCCTACTAAAACTATGTTAAATTACAAAGGGTTGACATATCACAAAGTATGGGCCCTGAGGACTTAGGTGGTATCCATCATCTAGATGTCCTGGAAGCTCCTACCAAGATTATTGCTTCCCAGTTTCAGATAATCCAGTGTGTGTCTTTCAGAAGAACTCACCAGACAAGTAATTGCCCATTTTTTGGAACTCTTTCTCCCATACATTTTTCTGCATGACTGCATGACTTCCTAAGGTGTGCCTGGGTTAATGTATAATAACCAGTTTCTCACTCTTCAGGATGAAGAGTTCCTTGTTTCCACATAAACACCCCATTCAACATTGGTGGGAATAAATATATACTCTATAATATGCATCAGATCAGAGATTACTTTGCTGCTTAGGGTTCCTAAGAATTAAGACTGTTTAGAACCTGGTGCTAATAAAAAAAAAATATATGGTAGTTCAATTCTTGTTCCAACTAATTGGATATCAAAAGAAAAAAACTCATTTTACTGACATTGACTATGCTGCATTGTGGCTAGTCATTTTAAAAATCTCTACTCTAGTTTAGACTACTATTTTTCACATCTGGAGGACAGCAACAGCTTCCCAGCTCATCTCCCTGCTTCCGGGCTTGCTCTGCTAATCTATTCTCTGTACTGAAAACTGCATGATCTTTCTTATATGTGTAAATCCTTCAGTGACTTCCCATAGCCCTCCAAATAAAGTCAAAATGTTTCATCATTGTTCTGATCCTTGATCACTATTAATCATACCCATTTCCTATATTCACCAACCTCCATTCTATTTCCCAGTTACATTGACATTTTTCAGTTGCAAGAAATGACCATGTTCTTGCTTTTCTGAAGACATTTTTACATAATACTGCCCCTTCCCAGGACACTCTTCTCACTTGTCTCTTGACTCATGGCCTCTCCACTCTTTCCTGTCTTAGGGATCACTTTCTGATGCTGTAAGACCAGGTTAAGCTGACTCTATGGTTGACTGTCAATTGCATTGTGAACTTTGTCTGTTGTAGCATTTATCACATAATTTTAACATTTCCTGATTTATGTCTTCCCCTACCTTCGAATTCTTCATTTTTGAGGAGAGATCGTGTCTTATTCAGAGTGGTATTCACTTTCTGGCACTTGGTAGTTGTGAAAAAGATACTCATTTGATGAATGAATGAATGAATAGAAACATATAGTATGTTTGCAAGACACAGAGGCAAATGCATGAATACCTTTGCTCAAATTCATCACCACTTTGATAAATCTTTCAAAATTTAGGTCACAGTGATATGAAGTGAGTGGGTAGAGCTGCTATAAACCATTAAAATGGACCTATTAAGAAAATTGTATAGCTCAATCACAGACAATACTGTCTATATCCTCCCCATTTATTGCTTTCTCATGATTTTCTCAGCAGAAAGAATATTTCATAGCATTTTTAAAAATTAGAAAAGCAAGCCCAAGACAGAAATACATTCCAAGACAGAAATACATAGTTTCTTCAGATTGCCCCCAAATTCCCACCATATAATATGTTTTTCTTGAACATGATGAAAAATATCAATCTCAGAGTTGGAAAAAAGTCCAACTCTATTGTCCAATTGTTACTCTCTTCCAAAGAAAATATGTGACATTGATGGAAAATTATGAGGTAATACTTGAAGATATTGTCTTTTCTGATGTGGAAATTTAACTTGCTTATTTTTATAAGCTAACTGGACTTACATGCTTGGACAGTTAGCTTTCCTGTTGATGAGCTCATTGCTGAAAAAAAAATAGAACAAAGAATGATAATGTGATATTCTCTTAGTTGCCCTCAATGACAAGAAATTATCAGAGAATATTGACTATATCCATATAGACATTGAGTATAATATAATCAGGAGAATGACAGCCCAATACATAGGATACGTATACAATTTTTATAGAGATTCACAGACAGTCTCTAATTAGGTTGATACATTCTCAAGCAGTAGGTGATTAAGGTACAAATAGTGGATGATTAAAACCCACACACAGTTTGTAATAATCCAGAACTATGTTTTCCTAATGGTGCAGGGTATAGCCTCTTTGGATTTTCTTCAGGAGATAGAGAAAATGGGGTAAGAGGGAGCAAGAAGATGGGATTTCCAGGCTTACACCCAGCCTTAGTCAGAGCAGCTCTGCTTTTGTCTCCTCTATTTAAGAATTCACATAAGCCTTTACTTAGTCAAAGGGTTTAGGAATGAAAAAATCGTTGAAACCACCCACATAAACTATATTTAAAATACTTTTAAAACACAGTTACTAAGTTATCAAAATGGTTTTTTTTTTGAAGAATAAACTATTGTATATTTGTATCCAACATCTGCTGAATATTGGTAAAGACAGAATGTAAATTAAATTGTCAATTTCCAAAAAAGTTAGGAATCTGACAAAGGACACATGAACATTTAAACTTCAGTTGGTGGAAGGTTATTTGAAAACTGTGATGATTTTCAAGATAAAAAGGCTTACTGAGTAGAATGAGGATAAACTGTTTTACTTAATTCAACCGGTGTTAGGTTTCTCAGACTCATATTCTCTGTCCCTAACTTTACATTGTACAAAACAAGAATGTTTCTTTCTACTCACCTTCAATAAATTCCATTTGGAAACTAGTACCAAGGAATTTGGTAAAGTGGAAATTTTGAAAATATCCAATTCAAGAATACCCTTACATGCAAGCTCAAGTCATTATACAGTGAAGAATTGGTTCCTCAAGATAGATTCCCAGTATTTACTCTATGGAAGAACTCAATTTTCTATCAAATGTATTTTTAAGATAGATATATTTCTTGTTTCATTTTTTTAAAAAGCTAATTTAATATGCCCTATATTAGTTAGTAATGCATTAAAATAGAAAATAGTATAATGTTAGAATTCTTCAGTTAAAATTTCATCTTAGTTTGAGCAAGATGCAAATTTCCCCTTTCCAAGAATGATACCAGGTTGCTCAAAATGGTTGTGAGTGTAATTGCATTTTTGAGGACTGAATTTTTAGGGAGAATGGTTACAACCTAGAGTTACACCTGGGTGGCTCAGGGGTTGAGCGTCTGCCTTTGGCCCAGGGCATGATCTAGGAATCCTGGGATGGAGTCCCACATCGGGTTCCCTGCATGGACCCTGCTTCTCTCTCTGCCTATGTCTCAGTCTCTGTGTGTCTCTCATGAATAAATAAATATTTTATTTAAAAAAAAAGAAGATATCTAATTTTTACCAAATAGTTTTACTTTTCATATGTAGGAGTGAAATAAACATTAACACCTTAGTCATAAAAATGACCCTCCAGCATACTTCTGAGTTGAGAGTGATCTAGTTAGTATTCAGTGCTTCATATGCTACAAACCACATAAGGGGAACTGGAGCACACAGGAACCAAATGTGGGCAGTGAGCTGCTCTTCCAGAGCCACGGTGTTTGCAATGCAAAGAGGTTGATTTCAGGTTTGCTTTGACACTCTGCATCCTATAAAGGACCCATATAGCACAGTTTTTGTTTTTCCAAAGCACCCCCCCCCAAACAAAAACAACCCACAGATTCCTGACAAATAACAGATAATCTTGGGTTACAGGGTTATTTCTGGACTTGGTCTAGAATTTCGACAGTTTTTCACTCATTGGGAATCACCCGGAGAGTGTTCCTGGAAAGCAGTGATTTTTGCCTGAAAGAATTGCCTTGAGGATTCTGCTGAGCTTTTCGCTAAATGGGTTTTCCTACATGCTAGTAAACACTGCTCTTTTTACACTTGGAAATTTGGAAACTTTCAAGGTTCCAGCTTTTTCTACTACTACTCACATTAATGCTTTTAGGTTTCCAAAGCACGTGTAGAACTTATTAGCTTTCTAAATCGTAATGGCCTATATGTTTCTATTTTCTATTTTCTTGTATATTCTCATGTTATTTCTATGATTGCAGGACGAACAAACATTATCATTGCAATTTTACAGATGAGAGAATGGAAGTAAAAGTTACAGGCCAATTACTTGGGTGGTCTTGCAGTGACTCTACGGGGTTAGAATTGGGTAACTTTCTTACTTTATTTATTTATTCATGAGAGACACACAGAGAGAGAGGCAGAGACATAGGCAGAGGGAGAAGCAGGCTCCATGAAGGAAGCCTGACGCAGGACTTGATCCTGGGACTCTGGGATCACACCCTGAACCAAAGGCAGATGCTCAACCGCTGAGCCACCCAGGCATCCCCAGAATTGGGTAACTTTCAGATCAGGTTCTCCATCAGCACACCCAGCCTTTTAAGATACTAGTCATTAAAATAAGCTGTAGCACACAAACTGAGCCTGTAAACAAGGAAAAGGCCAGGCAACCGATAACCACTTCATGCTTCAGTGCTGGTTTCAGATGGATCAGGCTTTTAAATTTCTGGCTAATTAACTGGCTATTGGAAATCACATGCAGCACATCATATAATTTATCAGAACTGCCACTATTTCACAACCTCAATTCATTTGTTTCCCCACCTTACAAGGTAGATTAAGCCCTTGACAGGTTCTTCCCTCCTGGGTTGGGAGAGGTCCCCAGCTTTATTCCCGGAGTAGTTGACTCTTCACCAGCAAACTCCTGCCCATCCCATTCCCTCAGATTTTCACTTCCTGATCAGGTTTCCTCTTGAAGAGTCAGCCAGACTCTTACAAAGGTAGGGCATCCTGTTTACCTCTGATATTAATCCCTTACTCTGCAACTCTCTTAAGTCTGGTGTTGATTGGAATTTGTAGGGGAAATCTGCACTTGTGTGACAGAAGCAGGTGCTTGTGGACGCAGCTTAATGCACAAAGGCAAATACGTCTCTATCTAGTTGGACTCCTCGGAGCCTTTCATATGCTAATGTAAGAGATGAATGTCATAGAATTTCTAAGATGTGTTTGACTACAGAACACTATATTACATAGAGCCTTTAGGAAATTAGAGATCTATATTTGAAACTTACATCTTTTAGTTATTAGGGTCCTTAATTTTTTGTCTTTCTTTTATATTTATAAAAGTGTATTTGCCTACTTCCCAAGAATATAAAAATTAGATGTTGCATTGGAAGGGTGTAGAAAAGGGCCTTGATAAAGAGTAGTTTTCCTTTTTAGAGCAATGATAATGGTATAATATAGTTCCAGTGATTTTTTTTTCTAGCTCTGTGATTTTTAAAACATTGCTTATAAGGTGGCTTTAGTGGCTCCAAAGTTGGTTTATCATTTTCCCAAATGCCCACAGGAAAAAATGTTAAGGGAAACTTTATAATTCCATTATATACAGAAACCATCCATATTCTTAAAAGGCAACAAATGAGTTTATGTCTTAGGAAGATCTTACCCAGAGAAATGGTTGTTGCTAAATGTGTGGTATTTTCACTAGCTTAGTCATGGAGGCAGTGGCTAGGTCAGATTAATTCTGTTAGTGGTGATGTTTGCTTTTATTTTAGGATGACTGCCAGTCAGTACCTACAGGAAAAACCACTTGACAACTAATCTCAGACATGCTTTCATCAGAGAAACATAAAACCATTTTTTTAACTTGAAAAAATTTTCCCATCTAAATTCTAGCTGTTATTTGGAATGGAGATAATTGCAAGTAAGTTTAAGATTAGATCTTTAAAATGGACCTGATAGAAAATTTCACGTCCCATAGAAAGGTATACCTACTTACCATTAACTTGAACGGAAGAGGCATTTATGGATAAGGCTCTTGTGTTCCTTATCTTCTGATTTAAGATGCTAAAGATTTTCTCCCTTAGTAGGGCCTTTTGCTGGGTAGAGGGAAACTGGAACACCATAATGATATCTGCTTTCACACCGTCTTCCTCTGGACTACAACATACAAGAGAAAGCTGTTTATTCAAAGAATAAATCAGTTATTATACTCTTTCCTGGATTTAATGCCCCCGAATTATATCTTAGTTGCTAAAAGTGTCAAGGACTAATCCTTTGGTTTTGAGATTCATTTGTATGTCACTGTCTGAACCAAGATCATTTCATACAATCCCCCTTCTAGTTTCCATTATGTTTTGAGTAGATTTTCCCCATTAATTTGAAGGCTTGTTATAGCAGTTGAATAAGATTCACAAATCAAAAAAATTTTCATCAAAATCATAAAATCTGAATATTGGAAGAAACGTTAGTGGTCCATTTGGCCAGTTGCTCGTGTATCTGATACCTGAATCACCTCTACAGCATCCCTGGCCCTCTGACCCCAGTGCAGTAATTAATAGGAAACTTACTGCCCTCTGGAGGCTGTTTCTCTTTGCCCAGCTCTGATTTTAAGACAGTCCTTCATTTTGAGTTGAAATATGTCTCCTTATATCTTCCATTACAATAGGCTTAGGTCTACCAGTTGGGACATACATAAAACATCAAGTTTCTCTTCCACATAAAATATTTAAAGACGATGGCTTTCTTGGTCCCTGACTCTTCTTCAGATTAAACATGTCCAGTTCCTTGAACTTTTTTTTATATAAAAAAATTCAAATCCCTTTACCTGTAGTAGTCAGTTTTTCTTCTTAAATTAGGAAAACCAAACAAATAAAGGTCTTTCAAAAAAATGAAATCTATGTATTGATCTGGCATGTCTCTTATTTTTACATTTCAAAAGACCCAAGCCATGAAAAGCAGGAGACCTAATTCTCCTGAATCCTTTGACTAAAAAAAAAAAAGGAAATCATATTGATTCTGAGGCATTTTATATATTGTGGTCCATTTAGGCTCTAGAATGTAAAGATACAAATAATCAGAATTTTATGTCAAATTGACAAATGTATGACCAAGTAATTTTCCCTCTTGAAACAGAAAGAAAACATTGTTTATGAGGTAGAATTTCTCTGGACCCACACAAAAACTTACATTGTGATAACGACCGTATATTCAAAGGAGTTCACAAGACTCTAATAATGCTGTTAGAACGTTACAGCAAATCAGAATTTGAAAATAGAGGATATGAAATCCAGAGAATTTCTGCAAATATGTGTTTTTTATTTCCTAAACATTGTAGAATTTGTCCGATTTATATAATAAAATCCTTCTGGAGGTCCCTAGCTATTTAGCAAAGATGTAAGGAACTTGGAATATGTCTTCCAATAAGGCATTAGTCTATTGGTGAGAAAAGTTATTATTTCCTTTATGTAAATCTATCTGAATATGCTCATTTTTAAAAAGGGTGAGTCCTACAGGCCCATAGGTTTGCATCTATTATGTATTTATGTTCTGCTACGTGCTTTCCAAATAACACAATTGAAACCTCTGAGCAATTTATACAATTGATAGGAGCCTTCCCCTTTTACCATAACAAACAGAAAATCTGTTAGAACATGAACATCTTTTTGTTTGGGCATGCCTCCTGGGACTTCATTACAGGTAAAATTTATGATCCCATTCTGTAGTCAACTTTGCCTTCTTATTTTTGAAATGACACATCTGCCATAAAAAGACAACTTGGTAGGTTTTCCCATGGCCACAGGTTCTGGTAGTCCTGGGCTTTACAATCAGTCCATGGGGTTTGAATCCTTTTTCTGTCACTTGGGGAACTTTGAATGTATCACTTAACTTCCTGTGTCTTCGTTTTTGCATTTAGAAAATGATGGTCAGCCCTCTATATCTCCAGACTGCTATCGAGATACTATTCATGAGAAATCCTAGGCAAGAGCAAGCCCACACCCTATATCCCTCCAGGCTGGGAGTCCACCTTTGCCCAAATATACATACGTCAGTCTGACTACTTGGTTCTTGATATAATGCTTGTTCAAGGCTGAATCTATAAATATCTCATCCACCTATGATTACAACAAGAGAAAGAGTCTGTGTTAGTAAGATATTTTATAATAAGAATATCCTTCTGATTAAATACTAAAGCAATAGAAAAGAGTTTTAACATGAGTAATATTATTTATACCGATGGTTCTCAACTCTCACAGTGAAACAATCAATGACAGATTTTTTAAAAAAAATTATAGATACTGGAGTCCCTCTCTCAGAGTTTTGGATAAAATTGATCAGGAGGGAATCTAGGCATTCATATTTTTAAAAGCCTTCCCAGGTGATTCTAATGTGCTGACATAGGTATTTTGAATAGAAGATATCCTCCCAAATTCTATAGAAGATGAAGCCAAAAGACACAGAGCCAAGATGTGACATGGAGGGAGGCCTTGAGAGATGATGGAGACAACCTTGGTTGAGAGCTGGGTTTGAAGCCTATCCTGCTGCCTATGAACTGGGCAATGTTGGAAGCTCTTGAATCAATCTGAGCTTCAATTTCCTAACCTGTAAAACAAAGATATTGATGTGCTACTCATAGGGTATAAAGATTAAACACACATAACATGCCGGGTATATTTTGGTAGTGAACTACATGCAGGTGGTTCCCTACCCCTCATCCTGGCATTGCCGTCTCAGATTTCTCTGCAGCTCTTTGGTTTAAGTACAGAGAATAGGTGTTAGGGATTTGGGAGAGAGCCAATGATTTTTAAATGGTTGATTGTGGGCCCTAGGGTAAATCAGAGAGGAAGAAAGAGTAATATGGTGTTGCACATTTAGATCAAAGTTGTATTACTTAGTTTATATAACCAAGGAAGGAAAAGATAAGCTACTGTTTTTTGGTTCATTTGCACAGAATTTTAATTGACTGATCCAGCTCTGTGTGGCTGTGGTTTATCACACCTGGATTTTGGCTTGCATATCTCCTAGTGACCACTGGGTGGCAACAGTGTCATCTGAACTAAACGTTGAGGGCTGCATTTCACACTTGGTAGAAGAACCAAAGGTACAAAAACCATGTCCTAAATCCTTAAGGAAGGGGCAGTCACCAACTTTCATTTGGAAAAAGACAAAAACATAAAAATTAATGAAAGGCTATTTCAGAGATCAAGGAACAAGTCATGACTTCCTTAGCACCACTGGGCATTCACAAATACTTAACTGGGACACAAAATATTCCTCATCTCCTTTAACCCTTACAATAACTGGTATAGAATAAACATTATTTTGATCCGTATTTTATTTGAAAAGGCGATTGTAAATTTCCCTGGCATTGGGTGGATAATAAATTGGGAATTAAATTTAGATTTTCAATTTGCCAGTTTGTCTCTTCTCATTGATCGCACAGACTCTTTGCTAAATTTGATGTACATTTTATTTCAAGTTCTTTCAGAGATTATGAAACAATAAGTTATAAAATAAACATTTGGTTGACTTAAGGTATAAAGCTTGTCAAAATATATTTTTTAAAAAGATTTTATTAATGAGAGACACACAGAGAGAGAGGCAGAGACACAGGCAGAGGGAGAAGCAGGCTCCATGCAGGGAGCCCGAGGTGGGACTCGATCCCGAGTCTCCAGGATCAGGCCCTGGGTTGAAGGTGACACTAAACCGCTGAGCCACCGGGGCTGCCCGTCAAAATATAATTAATCATGTATTTGTAAACCTGAAGATCAAAGGCAGTATTTAGAAAATAGAAAAATTGTTAGTATCCAAAATATATACTTATTTGTATTTACATAAGAAGAGCTTAAATGGACTGGGGAGGTGTGAGGTTTATAAGCTAGAACTGTCTTGGAAGATACGTTTTTGCAGGAGTGGCATTGTTGTGACCATTTCTCTTCTTGTTACACATACCTAGTCTTGTTACAGTATCTGGGGGAAATCCAAAAGGAAAGAAAAGGCAAAATAAAACAAAACAAAACAAAGCAACCCAACAACAACAAAACACCAACCCAACAGGAAGAAAAGTGCTAAATATGAAAGGGAAGAAAAGTAAATGACAGTTGAGTATTTACAGAAGTTTGGTTTGTAATTATCCTCTGAAATTCTACCCACGATCATTTCTTTGGCTGTTTGTAATTGTTGGTGAAGGTATTAGATTAAGTTTTGACATATGTGACGTCATTCTAAAGTCACATGGCTACTGAGAAGAGTATCTACACCCAGTGTCCTTCCTGTCTTTGCATGGTTCAGTTGTCTGGAAAGATAGAAGCTGAAAGAATGTCATTAACAAGAACCTAGGTATAAGTGACTTCAGTAATCAGAGAAATAAAGTTTTCCTCTAATACAAATTCCAGGACCTTGCCCCTCTAAAGCCTCTTTGATTAGCTTGGGGTGAGGCCCAGGATGTTTAGGTGATCCGAGTAGCCTGAGGAAAACACAGAAATACTGTAGCACAGGGACTGGCTAAAAGAATTTCTACAATAAAGACATTTTCGAAGGGGGGAGATCAGAGAAAACATGAGCATAAACTTTATTGCTGAATGGATTTTATATATGAACTAACTTCCTAGGGACGAGTCACTAAAATAATTATTAATTTTTCCTAAAAGTTGAAAGCTTGCTTCATAAGGAACATTCTGCTGACACTTTGGCATTCTAAATGTGAAGAAGTTTTGTTTTTAAAAAATTGCATGCGGGTTTTTATAAATGTGTTATTCACACAAGCTAATAGAGAGTGATTTATAAATCTAACCTACCTCCCATTCCAGGGCATTTGCAGAGTTTGCTGGTTGAACTTAGTCACTTAACATTAAACAGACCCCACCCCTTTCAGGGTAGTACTTCTTTATTTTGATGATGTTGAAATGCTGGCAGTTGCACTGAGATTAAGTTCTAAAAGGGCAATTGAACGTTAGTTGGGTGTTTAATGAAAGAGTTAGGGAGAGGCTGTAACTCCAACTAACAGACTGCGCCCAACCATTCAGTTCTCATTCCTGAACCAAGTCTGTTTATACATGTTGCTTGCCTTTCACCGTCAGATGCTTCCCAACTTGACTTCTCTCTCAGCAACCCCAGTATTTACATAGGAGGTGTTGCATGACTGAGACTGCAAACTTCAGAAAGATGCCACCAAAAATTGGCCAATGGAGTATAAAAACAGTTTCTTTCAATGTCACACCAGATAAGCACCAAAAATTAGAGGACCCACAAACATGCCATGAAGAAGACTTCAGATCCTGTGGCTGTCTCCTAATTATAATAAGAGTAGCACACAAAGAACAGTATAAGAGATGCTTTAAACACACACACACACACACACACACACACACACACTTTTAGCCTTAAATAAGACTTAATTGACTTCGTGGTTCTTCTTTATACCTCAGAGTAATCTTTCCTCTTCCTGTCTTAATTTTTCTTATCCCTTCAACTCCCTCCTTAACAGAGTCATTTATGCAAATAAGTTATCTCCGTTACTATACTGCACACCCTGTATGGATAAGTATGGTGATTTTTTTCATGCCCTACAATATATAGGAATACAGCATGTTTTTGTAGAAAGAAAGAAAGAAAGAAAGAAAGAAAGAAAGAAAGAAACAATCTATCAGAAAGACCTGCATTTACTAAGAAATTTGCAAGAGTTTTTAACAAGCTTTTCATTAGATTTAGACTAATGCTTCTGAAGAAAAAAACAAATTGACTATGAATTACTGATGGGTACTCTTCCTCCTTTTGGACATTTTCAGGTAATTTGATTGCTTGTGGAAAGCTCCTCCATGATGAGACTACAATAGTTATAAGAGTAAGAATAGTCATCACAGCTGTGTGTCACCTGCTCACCAAGCACTAACTCCACTGTATTTGTGAGCTCATTTGCTTTTCTCATCAACCCTCTGAAGTGAATACTATTATTATCTGCATTATATAGATGAGGAAGTGACTTGCCCAATGTGACAAAGTAGTGGACCAGCTGACCTTGGGATGAGCATACACATGTGTTTTTACTAAAAGCTCCTATCCACCGATGTGTAGCAGGTAGCATGTAAAGAGTCAAGAAACTGTTATAACACCAGTCTGTTTTCTTTGCTCTCTAAAAATGAGGAATAAAATCTTGGTAGTTCTTACTGCAATTTTTAAAGTTGTATCTATTTATAATTCTAGATTTTTGGCAAAACCCAAGAATCAAGAAGTCAGCTATGAATAATTTTTCTAAACCTACAAAGAGCATGGCCAAATCTGAGCAGTAATGGTGTTTATAGGATTCTGAAGCTTGATAGCCTTCTGGATATTGAGTCATTTTGTGTTAAAAAAAAGTCCTTAAAAAAAAAAAAACAAGAACTTGCCACAGTTTTGAACCCAGTGCTATGTCTATTAGATATGGCATTTGGATCCAGTGTCATATGGGGCCTATGGGTGTGTGGGCGAGTGCCATGGAAATGTGACTTTCTGATTACTCTAAACCAGGAGGTAATGATATCAACAAATGGGGTGTGACACTATGCGATATTATCAAAGTTATTTCTTTGATTGTACTAGTCATTCCTCAGTATCTCCTTGTAGGATATCAGAAAGAAACAGATGGAAATCTGTGACTCTCTAATCACACTTACCAAGTAGCAATATAGTGGATAATCTTACTCCAAATTGGTTTTTATTCTTGAGATTGAGAGGCAAAGTAAATTCAGTAAATTAAAACGTTTACAATTAAGAGTGACAAAAGATAAATTATTAACTTGGTATAACACAAAAGCTTAGATCTCTGAATTACCATTTCAGAAGAGGAAAATATATAATTTTTGTCTTTTTAAACTGTACTAAAGATATTTAAACCAGAATACCTGAGGCAAAGAAAGGTCATTTTTTAGAAGGTTCCTGTTCTCTCCAGGTGTGCTGTCCTTGAAATTTCTAAATTTAATTATTCAGTGAGAATGAGAAAAAGAGAGGATATGAATCATTACTGTTAGACACTGTTATAGTTCCTGAGTGATGAGCAATAATCTAAATAGATTATCTAGTAAAGATTGTGCTGTAGTCTTTGTCAGGAAGTCAAGAGATGGTTCATATTGCTTCTTTT